TGTCATGGCAGCGTGGGAACGAGGGCGTTTGGTGTGCTCAGCCCGGGGGCTTTGGGAACGCTGGAGCTCCTCCTGCCCCACACATCCCATCTCCCTTTCCTCCATCCCATCTCCCTCTCCTCCATCCCATTTCCATCTCCCCCATCCCATCTCCCTCTCCTCCATCTCACCCCCCTCTCCCCCATCCCATTTCCCTCTCCCCATCCCATTTCCCTCTCCCCCACCCCACTTCCCTCTCCCCACCCCATTTCCCTCTCCCCCACCCCACTTCCCTCTCCCCCATCCCACTTCCCTCTCCCCCACCCCATTTCCCTCTCCCCCACCCCATTTCCCTCTCCCCTATCCCATCTCCCTCTCCTCCATCCCATTTCCCTCTCCCCTATCCCATTTCCCTCTCCCCCACCCCACTTCCCTCTCCCCCACCCCGTGGCTCCGGGCCCAGCTCCAGCTCCCTCTCTGGGGTCCCCCTTCACCCAGGGGTGCCCCAAACCTCTCCCAGAGGCGGGGGGCTGCACCCCAGGGCTGGGGCTGGGCCTGTTTGCGGTCGGCCCTTTTGGGGGGCCCGGGGGAAGCTGGGGAGGAGCTCTGGAGCTGCTGGGCTGGATTGCACCGAGGCAAAGCAGAACCATGTGTCCCACGCTCTGCTTCTGCTCAGGGGGAGAGGGAAGGGCTGGAGGGGAGGAGGAGGAGCAGGATGAGCTGAGGATGCCCCGTGGCCACTGCTGGGGTTGGCATTCAGAGCTCGAGGCCGTGCCAGTGCCAGGCTGCCAGCGGGGATGAGGTGCCCCTTGTCCCCAGAGCAGAGCTGGAGATGGAAACAGGGACATTGCCCCCTCCTTTGTGCACCCACTTGCTGTCAAAAGGGCAGGAAAATCCAACAGGTCCACCTGGATCAGGGTTTGGGGCTTTTTATCCTCTCAATGCTCCCAGTTTTGGGGCCAGTTTTGGCATTTTGAGACCAGTTTGACCCAGAGGCGCTGCAGGTTCCAGTCCTCCCAGTGCAGCACCTGCCCTGGCCGGCGGTGTTGGACACACCGATGCTTTTTGGGGAGGTTCAATCCCCAAGAAAGTATTTTGGGAGCTGGTGATAAATTTTGGGGAAGCTCTGATGCCATTCTGAGAAGATCTGAAGAAGTTTTGGGGGAAAATCTGAAGGAATTCTGGGGACAATATGAGGAAGTTTTTGAGAAAATCTGAAGGAGTTTTGGGGACAATATGAGGAAGTTTTTGGGAAAATCTGAAGGAGCTTTGAGGACAGCCTGAGGATGTTTTTAGGGAAAATCTGAGGGAGTTTTTCTTACGGTCTGAGGCAGTTTTGGGGAAGATCTGAGGCAGCCTTGGGAGCATTCTGCCTCTCCACCACCCTCACCATCTCCAGGACAGCCCAGCCCCGTCCTGTGAGCAGGACCAGGCGCTGAGCCGGAGCTGCTGCTGGAGGAGCAGCCTCCGGAGCTGCTGCCCATGGAAATTGTTTAATTCCTGCGGGATGAGTCATGAGGAGCCGGGATTTCAAAGCAGCTTGGCTCCCATGTAAGGCACTCAAATAAACAGTGTGTGGCAGGTGGAAGCTCTCTCTGATGTCCCGTCAAGGCCTCCGACTTTCCAAGTGTTTTGTGTTGCCAAAAATCCTTCGGCCACACCGTGGCTTCATCCATTCTTGAGGCTGGGCTCTGGAAAATAATGAATCAATGCCCGGAAACATGAATCGACGGAAAATTTATGGCACACTTAGAATATAATGTCTTTTGGGTCCTCTGCTTTGAAGCATCAGCGCTGGAAGTTTTGGCATCTCCTTCTTCCAACCCTTCAGCGAGGAGGATTTAGGGGAAAAAAAAGAATAAATTCACTTTTCGCCCTCACCTCATGACTCTGTGAGCTTTAAGGAGTCCGTGGATATGGGAAACAAATCCCAAGAGTCTGCTGGAAAAACGGGGAGTGGGGTTGTAAAAACAAGAGTGTTGGGGAAAAATGAGAGTGTGAAAAGTGAAGGACGCCAGAGAACCCCAAACTCTCCACTTTCTGTGGGCAAAAAATATCTGTAGGGATGGAGTTGCTGGAATTTGATTTATCAGGAAAAACAAGTGGAAACACCATCATCCCTGGAAGCGTCCAAGGCCAGGTTGGACAGGGCTGGTCTGGGGCTTTTTAGAGCAAAAAAAAACCAACAGCAAAGCCCGGAATAACTTTGTTGTTATTGTTTTGCACTTTGGAGCTGGGATTTGAGTCTTTCGAAAGGTCACAGGCGAGTGGGTGGGGGCCAGGATTTCTGGCTGCCGGAATGGGAGGCTTTTTTATGGGACGTGCAGCGAGGCTGAAACCGCTCTCCTAAAATTTTATGGGCCTGCAAGAAGCCAGAGGCCCTTTCTCAGGTGGTGGGATCGAGTGTCACAGCCCTGCTCCAGCCCAGCCTTTTCCTTCCTGGAGCAGGACCAAGGGGGCTGAGCCCCCCTGGGTGCTGGAGGTGCAGCTCAGGGGTTTGTGTGATCCCACTGCTGGTGGTTCACCGTGGAATTCACCTCCCAGAGTACCCGACATCAGCTGTTCAAAGCTGTTTGTTCTCCAGGAGAGCAGAACAAAGTGTCCTTTCCACCCCCCAAACTCTCCCCTGGGGCTGCTGGTTCTTCACAAATCCTTCATTTCCAACGATTTTGTCCAGGAACAAACTGGGCTTCTCTTGGTCCTGCACCACTGAGCACCAATCCTGCTGGGAAGGGTTTGGATGCCAGGGAATTTTTAGTGCCTCTTCCTTGCTCCTGCTCTTATTTCCAGGGTGAAATCTGAGCTGAAGGCACCTGATTATTGTGGAATTCCAGAATGGGAACTTAAATATCCAGTCTCACCCCCTGCTGTGGGCAGGGAGATCTTCCACTGTCTCAGGCTGCTCTAAGCCCCATCCAGCCTGGCCTTGGACACTTCCAGGGATCCAGGAGCAGCCACAGCTTCTCTGGAAAATTCATTCTGGGGCCTCACCACCCTTCCAGCCAGGATTTCATCCCAGTATCCCACCTATCCCTGACCTCTGGCAGTGGGGAGCCACTCCCCGTGTCCCATCACCGTTCCCACTATGTCCTGTCAGGATGGTGAACGTGGAGGTGAACACACCTGGCATCCTCCATCCTCCCCCATTCTCTGCCATCATCTTCCATCCTCCTCCATCCTTCTCCATCCTCCTCCATCCAGCCTAGAGCATCCTCCATCCTCCTCCATCTTCCTCCATCCTCCCCCATCCTCTGCCATCATCTTCCATCATCCTCTGTCCTCCTCCATCCTCCATCCTCCATCCTTCTCCATCCTCCCCCATCATCTTCCATAATTTTCAATCTTCCTCCAGCCTCCTCCATCCTCCATCCTCCTCCATCACTCTCCTGCAGGATGGGGAGCCCAGGATGAATCCTGGTAGCAGATAGGGCTGGCACCACCCCCCTCCAGTGCTCCCAGTGCTCCCAGTGCTCCCAGCAGCCTCTCCCATTCCCGGTGTCCAGGCCAGCGCCGCCGCTCCAGACCCGCTGGGATTCCATCCTCTTCCCTCCTTATAAGGCCAAACGATTCTTTTTCTATCTTGGCATTGTTTATACCCCGTTGGAAATATTTCTACTCCGGCTGCAATGGTCCTGTAACCTACAGGGGATCTCGTTCCTGGTGTGGACAGGGAGTTATCTGCATCCCAAAAAATCAGGGGATGTGGTGATGAGGGGGCGGTCACAGCCCTTCATGGTGTTTTCTACAATAAAAATGAAAGCAAACCTGTCAAATCCCAGTTTGAACCAAACATTTCCCCCCAGTAAATTCCATCTGGTAAACACTATAAAGCTGGGATTGGGTTTTTTTTCCTTTTCTCCTTTTTTTCCCCCTTCTTTTTGTTTTGTTTTGTTTTTTAATACCCCGCCAGAAAATTTATTTAAAAAGCAAAAATATTTGGAGTTTTCAGGGAGCTGAAATAAATATAGGAGCCAGGAGGTGGAAGGACAGGGACATCAAACCCATCAGAGCCAGGGGCTCCTCCTGCTGCTCTCTGCTTCCCAAGGGAACGCACCAGGGAAGAGGCGTCCCAGGTGTCCCCAGGTGTCCCCAGGTGTCCCGGGGGTGACAGGAGTGTCCCTGTCCTCAGCCACTGCGAGGAAACCTGGATGGAGGGAGGGGCAGCGGGATCCCACCGGGCAGGGCAGCTCTGTTTGTTGGGAAGGGCTGGGATGAGGCCACCAGCTTGTCCCCAGTGGTGTCACCTCATCCTCATTGGTGCCACCTTGTCCCCAGTGGTGTCACCTCATCCTCATTGGTGCCACCTTGTCCCCAGTGGTGCCCCCTCATCCCCAGTGGTGCCACCTCATCCCCAGTGGTGTTCTCTTATCCCCATTGGTGCCACCTTGTCCCCATTGCTGCCATCTCATCCCCAGTGGTGTCACCTTGTCCCCAGTGGTGCCACCTTGTTCCCATTGGTGTTACTGTGTCCCCATTGGTGTCCTCCTATCCCCATTGGTGCCACCTTGTCCCCATTGCTGCCATCTCATCCCCAGTGGTGTCATCACCTTGTCCCCATTGGTGTCCTCCTATCCCCATTGGTGCCACCTTGTCCCCGTTGCTGCCATCTTATCCCCAGTGGTGTCACCTCATCCCCAGTGGTGCCACCTTGTCCCCATTGGTGTTACCATGTCCCCATTGGTGTCCTCTTAATCCCCATTGGTGCCACCTTGTCCCTGTTGCTGCCATCTCATCCCCAGTGGTGTCACCTCATCCCCAGCGGTGTCACCTCCTCCCCATTGGTGCCACCTCATCCCCATTGCCACCACCAGCCCCAAGCCGCCTTTCCCTCCCATCCGGCACATCCCTGGGCTGCCCCTCGTGCCTCAGTTTCCCATCTCAGCACGGTGCCGCTGTTGGAAGGGAGGAGCTGGAGCCAAGGGGATCCCCCAGGGAGGATCCCCCCTCCCAGGGCACAGGGAGGGAGGGAGGAGGGGGGAAGGGGCTCGGGGGGCTCGGGGCGCGCATTAAGGATGTTTGTTTTGCCTGTTTTGCAGAGTTTCAATGTTCTGACTTGCTCTAAGATGAAGGTATGGAAGTTTGCAGCCATTGCATCGATGCTCCTCAGTTCCATGTTATCCATTTTAGTTTGTAGAGACATGTTCAGCGGAAGCCGGGAATTCAGCCCCTTGCCTTCCTCGCCGTCTTCCTCACGGGATTCCTCCTCCTCCTCCTCCTCCTCTTCTTCCTCCTCCTCCTCCTCCTCCTCCTCGCTGCTGGCGGCTCCGCGGAGATCCCCACGGGCCCTGCAACGCCACGGCTCTCTGCTGGCCCAGTGTAAGCTCCTGCTCCCCCATCCCCGCGTCATTGTCCCCTCCCGGCCCCAAAGATCCCCCAAATCCCTGTGGGGTCATTCCCTGCCCCTCTCCTGCACCCAAACATCCCCTTTAGCAGGGTGTAAACAAGAGCTTGGGGCAAGCAGGGGGCACTGAGCACCAAACTCTGGTGTGAACACAGCAGCTCTCCGCAGAGGGAAACTCAAACAGCTCAGTTTGAGCAAAAAAAATCTGCTTTTATTCCCTTCCAAATGGCTCTTTTTTGGTAATTTTTTTTTTTTTTTTTTTTTTTTTTTTCTGTTCTGTGCTATTTTTTACAAATGGAAAATGTCAAACAGGAGCTGAAGATGAGGGCACGGCAGCAGCTCCCCCTGCTCACCCCTCGGTGCTCCCTGAGGGCTGGAAATCCCCACGTGTTTGTTTTGATTCCAAACCAGAGGAACTGCTTTTTTTGGGTGGAAATTTGGAAATCGATGACAAGCTGTCAAATCATGCTTTCCTCTGTCTTTCCTGTGCCTCCTGCGGAGCTGAGCTGGAATTACCCTGGATTTTGGGTTGGGACGAAGGGATGTGGGTGGTGCCAGCAGTTTGTGTTGGCTGCTGGCCCTGGGGACTCAGGGGCAGCCCTTGGGATCTTGGGGCTCCCAGACCACAGTGAAACAGTGCAAAAAAGAAATTTATTGGGGCTTCTCCCCAAATCCACCCACCCCAAGGGACCTCCATCCTCGGGGATTTTCACCCAGCCGAGGGAATTTTCGTTCTGCAATTTTCATCCACCTTAAGGCACCTGGAGGCTCCTTATCCATGGAGGATCTCCCATCTCAGGTGGCCTCCATCCAGGTGGAAGTTAACCCACCCTGGGAATCTCCATCCTGGGAGTCATGCACCCCAAGGGACTTTCTTCCTGGAGGATGTTTACTCACCCCAGGGAATCTCCATCCCGAGGTTATCCACCCACCCCAAGGAATCTCAATCCTGGGGGACGTCCACCCACCCCCGGGAATCTCCATCCCGAGGTTATCCACCCATCCCAAGGAATCTCAATCCTGGGGGATGTCCACCCACCCCAGGGAATCTCCATCCCGAGGTTATCCACCCACGCCAAGGCACCTCCATCCTGGAGGACCCCGAGACCCTCACCCATGGAGGATCTCCCATCTCAGGCCACCTCCACCCACCCCATCAACCCCCACCCGCCATGGGGACACCCGCTAACGGCGTCCCCTCCTCTTGCAGACAGCGCCTTGCTGGAGAGCTACACGGAGGGCGAGATCCGCCAGCTGATCTCGGCGCTGGTGGAGCGCTACCGCCAGGCCATGAACTCGGGCGGGCACGAGCTGCCGCTGTTCCCTCGCGCCGGCAGCCGCAGGAAACGCGCCCGCGCCCGCCACAAACCCTGCGAGCTGCGTGAGCTGGAGGTCAGCGTCAGCGAGCTGGGCCTGGGCTACGAGTCGGACGAGACGGTTCTGTTCCGCTACTGCAGCGGCACCTGCGAGGCCGCCGTGCGCAGCTACGACCTCTCCCTCAAGAGCATGAGGAGCCGCAGAAAGATCCGGAAGGAGAAGATCCGGGCCCGGCCGTGCTGCAGGCCGCTGGCCTACGACGACGACGTGTCCTTCCTGGACGCCTACAACCGCTACTACACCGTCAACGAGCTGTCGGCCAAGGAGTGCGGCTGCGTGTGACACAGGGCACAGGGACCGGGATGGAGGCTGGAGTGGCCGGAGGAGGAGAGACTGAGCCGCTGGCGTGTCCCTCGGTGTCACCGCCCCGCCGGCCGCGCGGGACTAGAGACGTGGCCACTGCCGCGGCGGAGGCGGTGGCCGGAGCGGTGACGGCTGCTTGAGGCTGTTGTCCCCTCTGCGGGTGGCCCGGCGGTCCCTGCTGAGGTGACAGTGGGTGTGCGACGTGCACAGGGCGTGTGCAGCCCTCGGCGTGCGCAGGCTGCACTACGTCACGCGTGTCACGCGTGTCACAGGCCACGTTACCTGCACAGGGGGTGCTGCAGCGCAGGTGTCTCTGGTATGGGGGACCCGCACACACCAGGGGTTCTGTGTCGGGGTGTGGCACAGGGGTGTGGCACAGGGGTGTGGCACAGGGGTGTGGCACAGGGGTGTGGCACGTGCAGGGGGTGTTGTGAGCAGTGCCGGTGCTGTGTGGTACTGGGTAGGGTGTGGTGCACTGTTTTGGGGTGTGCTGCACAATCCAGGTGTGTTTTGGGGTGTGCTGCACACTCCCAGTGTGTTTTGGGGTGTGCTGCACACTCCCGGTGTGTTTTGGGGTATGCTGCACACTCACGGTGTGTTTTGGGGTGTGCTGCACACTTGGGATGTGTTTTGGGGTGTGCTGCACACTCGGGATGTGTTTTGGGGTGTGCTGCACACTCCCGGTGTGTTTTGGGCTGCATTACAGGTTCAGGGTGTGTCAGGTGCCCTGTGCTGCCCCAGGGTGGGCGTTGAGTCCTTCTCTCTGTGGCTTTGGGGTTTTGTGACCACCCTGAGCTGCTGGGGGAGGTCCAACCACCCCAGATCCCGGTGTCTGGGGACACAGAAACGCCGACAGTGGTTTGTGTGTGGCTCTGACTCCCTCTGGCTTGTGCCTCTTTTGCCATCGTCTCATTCCTGCAGCCCTGGGGCTTTTCTTCTTCAAACTCGGGATAATCTGAAGTAACTGGATTAACCTGCTGTGCCCTTGCCACGGGCAGCTGGGCCGGAGCCCGGCCACCTCCAGGGAGGTGACAGAACCTCCCCAGGGCCACCAGCAGAGCTGCAGCGCTTGGCAGTGTGGGCAGGAGCACCCCTGGTTTGGCGTCTCCCAAAAATCCCCCCGGCTCTCCTGGGAATATCTCCCACCCTCTGCTCAGGGCTGGGAGAGGGGACTCGGTCCTGGGCTTGGCTCCGCTCGCATTTACAGCAGTGTCACTGCTGTTTACTCTGCGGGGATATAAATGAGCCCGCAGACTTTCACATTCCCTGGGCTCGATTTGTTGCCTGGGATTGATGGGTTTTCTCCCCTTGGCTCCCTTCCCAGAAAAAGCAAATCATAAACAGAAGGAGAATATTGGTGTCATGTCCTGGGCATTAACCAACGGGAGGGAAAACACTCCGTGTGCCACCCCCCCGGCGTCCTGGCTCCTCTCTCCAGACAAACAGGGGGAAAAATCCCTGGTGCCTTCATCCCGAGGAGGAGGAGGAGGAGGAGGGCTGCTGGTGGTGATCCCAGCTGGTGATGGTGCTGCAGGATTTGGGGCAGCAGGCTGGCATCCCTTGGGATGGGATGGGGTGAGGTGGGATGGGGTGAGGTGGGGGACAGCATCTCCAGAGTTGGACCAGCCACATTCCCGACCTCCACACAGGCCCAGGCTGGTGGGGATTTTTTTTTTTCCCTTCCTTTTTATCCAAACGCAGCTCTTGGCTGAGCGGAGCCAGGGTGTAGTGGAGGAATATAAACACCATCCTTCAGCAGGGCTGGCGGCCCAGGAAGGCAGCCTGGACTCTGTAACACGGAGTTTTCCCTGGATTTTGGGAAAGGCAGGAGGCAGCCGCGGGTGTGGGTTGTGTAACCTGCACCTGGGAAATGGGAAGTGAGAGTGGATAAACTCCACGCTCCAGGTGCAGCTCCCGAACCAAGGTGTGAGTTTGCAGGCCTGGAAAGGGGAAAAGTGGCCCAAAATAATCAGCTGGAGGACGGGAATGGCAGATGGGCAGCGGGAGCTGCGCCGGGCTCACAGTGGATAAGCGGCTCGCTCGAGTTTAAAGAAGAAAAAAGCACCCAAATCTAATAATAATAATGATAATAATAATAATAATAACAACAACAATAACTGTCCTCTCAAGGGCTTGGGTGCTTTCCAGGCCTCGCTGCTGATAAAACTAAAATTGGTTTTGTTGCAGTAAAATCAAAAGGAATGGAAGCAGAGCAGGGAAGGCAGGGAAGGTGGTGTGGAAGCAGTGCAGGACCTGGTGCTGCAGAGGAGGGTTTGGAGCTGCCTCTGCTCAGTGTTTGCACGCTGGTTTGGGACAGTTTTTTGGCAGAATCCAGGGATTTAGGGTGCTTTGATGGTGGGCACCCAGCCCAAGGGACCCTCCTCTCGCCAGGGTGGTGGTGGGAGCCGCAGGAAGACAAGGGGACAAGGGAGGAGCAGCTCGTGCTGGGACATCTCCCGGCTGCCAAAATCCCCCAGTCCCAGTCCAAATCCATCTTGGAGCCCCAAAAATGGGAGGAAAACCTGACTCAATGCAATGGTGTGTTAAACCCGGCAGGCATAGCTCCAATCCATCATTTTTTGTCTTTTTTTTTTTTTTTTTTTAATTTCCCCCTGCTGGCAGTGGAGCTCTGACCAGTGTGGAGGGGATGTTCCTCATCTGCCTGACGCTTCTCCTGCTGGGGAATTTTGGGAACAGCTGGGATTTGCAGCCGCAAAACTCCCCGATGGGGCGAGCTGGGGCATCGTGGTGTGGCCAAAAGGATGGATTCTGCTTCCATGTCTTTTTCAGGGCTCCTCCTCCTCGTGGAACTCCTCCAGCTGTCCTGGTGCCATCCCGCTGCCAGCCGGCCCTGGAAATGTGGTTCCAATCGAAAGGCTGAGGTTTCCCTAATGCTTTCCATTTCTCCAGCCCCCTCTGCTGTAATAGGAGCTGGAGCTGTCCGGAAGAATGACTACAATGCAAAAAAAAAAAAAAAAAAAAAAAATTGAAAATTCCCTCCTCAAAGGCACAGCAGAATCTCATCTGGCTCCTTCCTCAGCATCCCATGTGCTGTGGTTAATATTAATATTATTATTATTAGTAATAATAATACTAACCAGTGTGGAACAGCTGTTGAGGGGATTTTGGGGTTGGGTTTTTGTTTGTCTGGGGCTGCAGCTCCTCCTGAGAGAGGAGGGTTTGGAAGAGCAGGAGGTTTGGAGATGCGAGGAGATGTTTAAAATGGATTAACGTGGTTGTGACAGTGCAAAACTCCCAGGGCTGTGCTCTGCCAGCCCTGCCACGGTGAGTTCTGGGATTTCCAGAGGGTTTTCCATCAGGACACGCTGTGCTTGGGGAAGGATCCAGCTCCAGCTCGGGATCAGAGCCACACATCCCACAAATCTCTCGGGATCCCATTTGGGTCTCGCTCCCAATTTGGGATCCACGGGGGGGAAATTGGGTCCGACGTCGTCGTTCCCACTCGATGAAAGCGCTCGCAGAGAGAATGTTCTGGGTTTAAACAGCTCCAGGATCCTGCTGGGGAAAAAGGATTTTCCCAATTTATCAAGAGAAAGGATATTTTGGTGGGATTTGGCTTTTTTTGCCCGTTGGAAATTGGGAATGGGGCTGCCACGTGTTTTCCTTCTGGGCTGAACAAAGCCTGGCCTCGAAGGGGAGGCCCAAGAGAAAGGGGGAGAAAAGGGGGGAAAAGGAAATAAAAGGAAATAAAAGCAAAAAGAAGGAAAAAGGGGGAAGAAAAAAGGAAAAAAAGGGGGAAAGGGAAAAAGAAAAAAAAAGGAGAAAATAAAAAAGGGGGGAGGAGGAAAAAAGAGGGAAAAGATACAGTAGAAAAAAAGGGAAAAGGGGAAAAAGGAAGAAAAGGGAGGGAAGGGAAAAAAGCAATTTAAATGAAAAGTTGCAAATGGGGGAAAGAAGAACAGGTAGAAAGGGAAAGAGGAAAAAAGAGGAAAAGGGCAAAAAGGAAAAATAATAAAGGGGGAAAGGGAAATAGGAAATAAAAAGAAAAGGAGGGGGGAAAGGCAAAAGAGAAAAGGGATAAAAGGAAAAAGGGGAAAAAGAAAAAAGGGGGGAATGGAGGAAAAAGAAAATAAAAGAGGGGAAAAGGAAAAAAGGGAAAAAGAAAAAAGAGAAAATAAGAAAAAAGGGGAAAAGGAAAAAAGGGGAAAAAAGAAAAAAGGGGGGAAAAAACAAAAAGTTAGAAAAGGGAGAAAAGGGGAAAAGGGATCCCTGTTCCAGCGCCAGCGGCACCATCCGGATTTTCCTGTTCCCCTCCGGAATCGCCGGGCCCGTGCCCGGCTGCAGAAGTGGATGCAATGCATCTGTATTTTGGATACTGCTATTTATTGGAAATAAATTATGTTATTTATTCAGATCCCAAAGCGCCGCCTCCCAAACGCCTCCCGCGCTCGCTCCCTTTTTTATGTTATTTATTGACCCCGACGGTGCCAAGTGCAGTTTACATTTATTACATTTGTACCATTTATCCTCAACCTTTGTGGGGGGAAATACAAAATAAGATAAAATAAAATGAAATAAAAAGCTGTTTGATATTATTTTTTTTTTAAACAAATCTGAACTCGGGTGTGATCTGTTTCATCCTTGTGGCAAAAGTGGGAATAAAAGGAAGGATTTTTATGGATTTGTTCTTTATCATGGGTTTTTTGGGGGAAAGACTCAGAAATAATCAACTTTGGCCCTTCTGGGAAAGGAGCTTCTAACTGGGTTGGCTCAAAAACATGAAAATTCTGAGGAAATCATGTGAAATGGGAAGGGAAATGGGAAGGGGAAGGGGAAAGGGAAAGGGAAAATGAAAGGGGATATCTCTGTCCTTTAACACCACCAGTCCCAGCCCAGTCTGTCCAGAAAAACAGAATTGATTTTGATTTTCATTCCAAAATAGGCTCAAACCTGGCACCGGAAAACAGAGAACAATAGGAGGGGGAAAAAAAAGAAGGATAAAAGGTCTATAGGATTTTTTTGGGAATGGAAAAAAAAGGTCTGTTTATATTCCCCCCTCATGCCACCCAGAGGCCTGACAGCCATGGCCGAGTCAAACATTCCCGCTCCGAGCTCCACTTTGTAAATATTTTAGGAAGAATCTTTGGAGAGCCATAAATCTCCCCCCGTGCACGTGCATGGCGTGTAAAAAAAAAAGAAAAGCCAAGGAAAACCCAATTCCTGCTGCCAGCCCATCCAGAATCAAATAAATAAATATTAAAAAAATGGAGAAATTAAAGTTTAATGATCCAGTGGGAGTGGGCTGCTTGGAAAATCTGACTCCTCCAAACGCACAAAAAAAAAGAAATTTAGGATGAAAACAGCGGGGAAAAAATGTGAAGTTGGGAAGTGTTGGGATCAGGGATGGTTTTGGGTGTAATTCCTGGGAAATGAGGTGTGTGTTGTCAACTTCCATAGTGTAAGTGGCAAATTTTTGTTGCTTTAAGTAAAGCAGTTACATTTAAGCCCTGGTTTAGAATTCCCAACTCCCAGATGATGTTTAGTATTCCTTTGGTCATTTTGCAATGGAAAAAAGGAACGAGGCAGGAAATGGGATGGTCAGTGTTGAACCCCAGTGTTGGAGCTTCCCAAAATTATTTCCCAGTGCGAAAAATCCCTTGGAGCGTCTCAAAATTAACTCCCCGTGAGCAAAATCGCCATTTGGCTTGTGCTGATACACAGGCAGAGGGGAAATGAAGATGGCAAAGGGTGGTGATGGAAAAAAAGGGATTTTTGATCCTACAGATCAAAAAATCCTAGAGAAGGATCGCAGGAGGAAGAGCAGCTGGAATTCTTGGAAATGTTTGTGAAACGCTGCTGATGGAGCAAACAATCGCATCCCTGTGTGCGCTGCTGGGCTGGGAGCTGATTTCCCTCATGGAAAACCCCCGGGGTCAGGACAGACCTTTGGAGGGCTCAGGGATGAGGGAGAGGAGAGTCCAGGGCATGGGTGGGGTGGGGAGAAGGTCCTGAGGGAGCACCCAAAGGTGGCCCCGGAGAGCCCAGGGCTGAGCAAGGGCAGGGTGGGCTGCAGGACTGGGCGGGAGGGACTGGGAGGCAGGATCAGGGCCAGCCCCTCGTGCAGCAGGAGCAGCAGTCTGGCAGGGCCATCCCTTTCAAGGACATGGCCCCCGGTGCTCCCGGCTGCTCCCGCTGGGACAGGACGGGCCCAAGCTGGGCTGGAATTGTCTGCCAGGAGCAGCCGTGGCTTCTCCTTCTCCTGAAGGAAAGGGGGCCTACAGCGCCGCCATCTTGGCCGCTATCTTGGCCGCCATCTTGGCTTGGCCGCCATCTTGGCCGCCATCTTGGCCGCCATCTTGGCTTGACCATGATAAATGTACACAATACACATGGTATAAATATATTTTTTTAATATATATTATACATATATATTTTTAATATATACATATATATGCATATATATATGTATATATACACATATATATTTTTTAATATATATGTGTATCTATATATATATTATATACATATATATTATATAGATATATATGTATATATACACACATATATAATATATATTTAATATATAGTTGTATATATAAAAATATAGATTTATATCTATATTTATATATATATTTATATCTATATATCTATATAGAGAGTGTATAAATATAAATAAATAAACTATAAATATATATAAATATAATTATAATTATAAATGTAACTATAACTATAACAAATACAACTATACATATAAATAATAAATATAATAGAAATATAAATTCCAAATCTAAATATACATATAAATATACATATAAATATAAATATTCTATAAAATAGATATACTCTGTAAATATAAATACAATGTAAATAGAAGTATTATATATATGCTATATATACATCTATAATAGATAAAAAATATAAATATATATACGTCTCAAATGCCATGTATGTGATATATAAATTTTACATGTACATGATACATAAATTTTATATGCATAGTTCCACATATTTATTTCTCTAGATATTTCATTTATATACATATAAAATACTGTACATAGCGCATAAATTTTATATGTGCAGTTTTATATCTGGATGTTTTAATAGCTGTGTATTTTAATATCTGTATAGTTAATATATATGTAACATACATTTATAATATATATAAATATACACATAAATATAAAAGTATATATGTTTAATTTATCCACATAAAATAGCATAGTATATTCAGTATATAAAAGTGTATTTTCTACTTCTATACAATATATAGAGGTATGCATAAAGGAGTGAACAAATATATATATTATGTTAATTTAAATATATATACACTGTTTTATATATTTTTGTATATATCTTCTAAGTGTATATTTATATATATAAAAAATTTATACACCTATGCAGCTTTTATTTATATATATAGCAAAATATGCATTTATACATAAATATACACACATATATATACAACTTTTATTTATATATACATATAATAAAATAAATTTTATATACTATTACAACGAGCCATGGGCGTTTCCTTCTCTTTCCATTGGTGACCTCATTGAATATTTCAAAGCAGCTCATCTGTGCTGATGGAGCAGCCAGGGATTCTCTGTGCCAGGGCCTCCCCACCCTCACAGGGACGGATTTTCCCCAAAGTCCCACCCCAAACTCCTCCAGGGACAGGTGAAGAGGCCTCGAGCATGGCGGGGGGACAGGGAGAGGTTGGTGCTTTGCCATGGCCACAGTGGGTGCGGCCTGCGTTGAGCGTGGCTGGGATGCAAACCAGCCCTTGCGTGTAATTACCAGGCTTAATTAGCTCCAGCTGCAAACACGGACGGCTGGTCTGGAATTCAAGCTGTTGGAATCTGTGGTATTGATGATCCTGAGATTGTAGAAAGTCTCTGTCTTTCTGCCCCGCTGCCAAAGCAGAAGCCATAATTGGTCTGTGCTGGTTTCAAGGTTGTTTATTCTGTTTATCTCTAACATGTTCTGCTGCCCTGCCGCAGCTCTGTCCTGCAGGGCAGCGTGTGGGGCTCTGCCCTCAGTGGGATGGTACAAACATTAAATACCACAAACTACCTGTGCTGGATTTACAATAACGTGCCAATATCTGTCACCTACGTTGGACAGTGTGTCCCCAGCCTGAACCAACAGAAAAATGCCAACACCACAGTGAAACATGGAGGGCATGAAGAAGGAGAAAAAGGACAAGGCACACCCAATTCCTCCATCTTGTCCCCTTTGGACCCCTTATCTAGAATCCTAAAATTTTACTTTTGCACCCGTGCCACACTTAATTATTACTGATATCAAACACTCAGAGCTGGTAATTCATCCTGTAAGATTGAAAACTCTTTTCCATGGACAGAGATCACAGCCAGTGTCTCTGGGGGCTCTGTCCAGGGGGGTTCCTGACCCCTGCCAGGGTCCCAGACCTGCCAGGGCAGCCAGAGGGAACCCCTGGATTCCCACAAAAGTCACAGAGAGAACTTTGGTACAGGTTTGAGGTGGTTTGGATGAGCAAGAGATGCAAATTCCAGCACGGCATGGAAGATCTTCCATTCCCGGCCTTCTGTGTTTCCTGGGGGTCACCTGTGTCCAGGTGTCTCCTGCAAGCTCTGGAGCGCTCAGCTGAGAACTAAAAACACGCCATGGCCTGAGGGATGGAGTTGTAACTCATGGTTTGCTCACCCCGAGCTGACCTGGCCGTCCTGAGGTCCAACCTGACCATGAGAAGGAACCAGAGGTTCGACAT